TCTCGTGTCCTCTGTTCCTAACTCCTCTGCTTCTGCTGCTTCTGTCCTCATCTACCCATCTCTCAATTCTCCTATACCTTCTTTTGTCTCAAATCAGAGTTTTTTTCCTAAGCAATACCCATCTCTAACTTAAGATGAAAAAAAAAAAAAATCTGTTCCTTGTCAGGTATGACCTTGACAGCTGCTGTTTGCTCATTCCATAGTCCCCAAACAGTTTTTGATTTACAATTTCTTAGTTATAACCTTCAAAACTCTAAAAAGTCATATGTAAATAAATGGCTGTTTATATTATAGTATGTCTTTATTTATTATATGTATAAATCTGTTATTTATTCATTCATTCATCCATCCATCCATCAATTAATCAATCAATCAATTAATTAATTATAAGCTCCAGACATCTCCACCTCCCTCAGTGCTCTGTCTTCCAACAGGTCCTGGTAGGACAGTTAGTGGAGGGTCCTTTTTCTCTCAGCTTCTGAGGACAGTCTGTGTCTCTCCTCAAGCATTTTTATTTGAGGGGCTGTGTTTCTTCTCAAGTGAATATTATCAGGGTTCCATACACAATTTCCCCTCCCCCCTCTCCTTTCTGCAACCAAAATGTCCGTACAACATACCTTGCAGAAGAAAAACAGTGAAGGAAAAAAAAGTCACTGTCTGGGATAAGGAGGCAATATTGTATGATGGAAAGCGCCAGTGACTTTGGAGTCAGGGGATCTGAATTCAAATTATGCTTCTCAGGGGTGTGTTGGAGCAAGGGCAAACTTTTCCAGTGTGAGCATGCGTTTCTCAGTCGGGCTTTAGTCATATAGTTGTGTGGATTGTCTAGAGTTAAGGAAGTGATGGAGGAAATGTTAATAATGCATATGAAACTTCAAAGTGTGTGGAGTGACCCTCCCTCCCCCCAAGCCGGTGGTTGAACATTTATCAGCAAACACACCACTGCCAACTTTGCGCCTTTAGTCAGTCCCTTCATTTCTCTGATTCTCCCTTTCTTCATCGGTAAAACACGGGGGTTGGACCAGGTGACCTCGGATGTCACTTTCAGCGTGACATTGGCCATAGATAGTGTATACACCATCCCGCCCCTGTAGCCCCCCACCTTTCTGTGTCATGGAGGAAGGTGCTTTTTGGCCACTTCTCAGGTTCTCTCTCATTCTTGACACTTTTTTCTCACCTCTTTTTGTATTTATACATTTCCTTCATGGCATCTTTTTCTTTCTGGTGTAAAAGTTTCACTGGTTCCTCTTTTTTTCTTCATTATAGTCATTTTTGTGGCACTCCCATCTGTGAGACCTCCCTCTTCACAGAGTCAAACCAACCCAGCCACGCCAGACAGCGTATGTACCATTTCACACCTGTGGCCCCTCACCAGGAGGAGCGAGATAGGCTTCGTCTTTGACTCTCCAGGCTTAAGCCTGACCGTTGCCAAGTTTTTGGAGCTGGGCTTCCTTTTTATTGATTTTTATTTATTTATTTTTTAGGCAGTTGGGGTTAAGTGACTTGCCCAAAGTCACACAGCTGGTAAGTGTCAAGGTTTGGTCTGAGGCCGGATTTGAACTCAGATCCTCCTGACTTCAGGGCCGTGCTCTATCCACTGCGCCACCTAGCTGCCCCTGGGCTTCCTTTTTAGTGTTGCTGTCATTTACTTTGGGCCTAGTCCTAGAGTCAGAGTTCAAATCCAGCCTCAGATACCGGCTGTGCAACCCTGGCCAAGGCACTTAACCCTGTTTGCCTCAGTTTCCTCATTTGTAAAATGAGCTGGAGAAGGAAATGGCAAACCGCTCCAGTGTCACTGCCAAGAAAACCCCAAATGGGGTCACAAAGAATCAGACACATTTGAACAACAACAAAAGAATAATACTCCTAATGTATTTATTTTCTCCAAGAAGTACCTGTAAATCATTCTTCCGTTTAGCTGATACTTCCGTTCTTGATCAGCTTTTTTTATAGAAAGAATGTCCAAATTCATCTGACTCAGTTCCATTCCTCCAACAGCATGTTGGACATTGGACTGGGAAATTCACCAGTCACCAAACTGGATATTGGGGAAGGCCTAAATTCCATGCGATTCTCAGTACCTGCTGTCACCGTAGAAGCAGGAGGGAGCCACATAGCCCTGAGGACCATTTAAAAAATTTTCAGATTCAGTTAATGAAAAAAAAAAAACCCAAAGCTAACGTTTATATAGTGCCTGCCATGTGCCAGGTGCTGTGTAAAGCACTTTACAAATATTATCTCATTTGACCCTCACAGCAGTCCTGGGAAATAAGTGTTGTTATTATACCCATTTTACAGATGAGGAAACTGAGGCATACAAAGGTACAGTGACTTGGCTGGGGTCACAGAGTGTCTGAGGAAGATTTTAACTCTGCTCTTCCTGACTCCGGATCTCCATTGAGCCCCCCAACTGCCCCAATCAATCCCTTATTTCTTCGTAGCATTCTTATCAGGTTTAGATCTGAGCTGGTTATGACAGCATCCCCTCACCATCACCCTGTGAGGTACCTGGGGAAGGGATTCTGATGGCAGTTTCACAGATGGGGAAAATGAGGCACAAGAGAAGGGAAAGGATTTGTTCAAAGGCCCAGCCTTGTAAGGTGGATAAACCAGTTCTTGTTTCCTGAATCTGACTCCCAGGCCATTGTTCTTTCTCCCATGCCCCTTGAACAAAACACCAAGGCTGGGAGAAGAGAGTGGAGGGAAAGACAGGAGGGGTAAGGGAGGAAAATGAGCCTAGGGCACTGGACAGAGACACAATCCAAGGCCCCTGGTGTACAGTTTCCTGGCCACCCTTGGGCTCTGGCCTTGGTGGGAGAAGAAGGTCCAGTTGGGGCCTGGGGGGGGGCAGCAGGGGACAGTGCTGAGAGCGGGAGGAGGGGCAGGGTTGGCCTGGAGGGCGAGCTGTGAATGGATGTCGAGGATTTGGAGATCTCTAGATTGAGCATTGGTTCAGTGATGCCCTCTGGTGGATTTCTTCTCCCCAAAGAAAAAGAAATTCTGTTTTTTGTTTTTTTGGGGTTTTTTTTGGCCCAAGGCAACCAAACCCCAAACAGGCGGTCAGGAAGACTGTCCAGCCTTCTCTTCTTCCCTATAATAACATTAATTGACATTACAAATTTTTTTAAATTGACACCTTTGGTTTTTATATCACCTGCATTTCTCACTATGTCTTTGCCCCTTCTAAAAAACCATGTTTTGTAACAAAGAAGGAAGAAAAGGGGAAAAAACCAGTCCATCGAAACTAACTAACATATTGAAAAAGTCGTATGTTATATGCAATGTTTTGCAGCCTAGTTCTCCATCTTTGCAGAGAAGCAGGGCAAGGTTTCTCTGCATCTTTCTTTTTGGAAGCTAAGCTTGAATTAATTCCCATCTGTTATAGAGCGCTTTGCACATATTGACTCATTTGAGCCATATAACAACCCTTTGAGTGAGACCTACGGTCCTTATCCACTCCTATTTTACAGATGAAACTGAGTCTCACACATGTCAAGTGACTTACATAGGGCCATACAGCTGAGGTACCAGAGGTGACGTTTGACCTCTAGCCTTTCTTACTCCAAAACTAACTGTTGAACCAACCGTGATACTTACCTGCTGCTCTCTGAGAGGGCTCTCAGTTATGGAGGTGGGTGTAGGGAATCTGTGCCCTCTCGGATTCAGATGGCATTCTAAAGGGTTTTGTAGTAATAACTCATGTTACAAGTTTCTATATAAATAAACATTATATTAATGATATATAATAAATATATAATGTAATAAAATTTAGATGTATTATAATAGAAATAGATATTTATATCATTGCATAATATATGTGATATATTATATATAATATACAAATTATGTTATATAAATGTAATGAATATAAATATAGTAAATAACATAATAAATGTTATATTAATGACATAATGGATATAATAAAATTTAGATATATTATAATAAAATATATTTGTATGTTATATAATATATGACATGAAATATTTTATATAATATATAATTATAATACTGCAAACCCAAATATAGTAAATAACATAATAAATGAATGTTATATATATTTTTTAACACTGAAGCCACATCCCAGTGGTTCCCATTCCACCCTGTCCCTTGCAACAAAGTATATAGCAAGCAAGACAAGTCAACATATTAGTGATGTCTAACAGTATATGCCTCATTCTGTACCTGTAGCCCCTCACATCTTTGCTGAGAGGGGGGACACTTTTTTTTTGGCTAGGCAGTGGGGTTAAGTGACTTGCCCAGGGTTGCATAGCTAGTAAGTGCTATGTGTCTGAGGCTGGATTTGAACTCAGGTCCTCCTGAATCCAGGGCCAGTGCTCTGTCCACTGTGCCACCGAGCTGCCCCAGGACACGTTTTGCCTTCAGCCCTCTGCGGTCAGGGTTGGTGATTGGTCAACATGCTGAAATTTTTCGTATTTCTGTAACGCTCTTTGGTGAGAAAAGTATTGTTACCTCCCATTTTCTAGATGAGGAAAATGAGACTTGTGGAGTCACAGCACCGTGTGAGAGATTTCAGGGGCCGTCTATTCTAACCCTTTGCGTTTTACAGATGATGAAAATGTGCACAGTGAGATCATCACTTCCCCACATAGGTGTTAATTGTCAGAGGTGGGATTTGAACCCAGGTCCCCTGACTCCGTAGCCAGTATGTAGTCCAACAGTGTGTACAAAGGCAGGATTTGAACCTGGGTCCTCCGACCTCAGATCTCGTGTCTCTTCTCCAGTCAGTTTGTGGGGGGCAGTGTTTCTCCCTGCTGGGTCAGCTAGTCAGTCAGTAAGCCCTGGTTAAGCTCTGATTAGGTGCCAGCCGCTGTGCTAAGTGCTGGGCTTACAGAGAAAGGCAAAAACCAGCCGGTGTTCACAGCCCTGCGGATGGATGGATGGACGGATGGATGGATGGATGGATGTGGTCGGGCTGGGGAAGGCACGGCTTTCTGAGTCCTGAGTCAGCGGGGGTGCATATGTGTGGGTTCTGCTACCAGGGAGCCGGCGACTGGTGGACGTGATGGATGTCAACAGCCAGAAGGGCACGGAGATGAGTATGTCCCAGTTCGTGCGCTACTATGAGATGCCTGAAAGCCAGCGGGAGAAGTTGTACAATGTCATCAGCCTCGAGTTCAGCCACACCAAGCTGGAGAACCTGGTCAAGCGTCCCAATGTGGTAAAGACTGTTGACACCTCCCTCCCTCCCCCAGGGACACCCATCTCCACTCTCCTTGGCCCTGGGCTCGCTGCATGGGCTCGGTGTAGCAGTCTGGACTTGGTCATGAGCCGGGGAATCATGGGATTGTAGTAGACACAGAGGTCATCAAGTCCGTCCCACTCCCCTCCTCTCCCAGATGAGATAACTAATTCCCAAAGAGGGTTAGTGACTTACCCAAGGTGACACAGGTATATTCGAACCTAGCATCCTTCAAATCCAATGCTCATTCCATTCATTGCTCCATGCTGCCTATTCTATATCATTGGCTGAAGTGGTAATTGAGATTGGAGAATACTAGGGAGGAGGTGAGGTTGTCAGTGACTAACACCTTGACCAGATCCTGGCTCTGAGGGCTGTCCTGGGGAAAAGAAAGGGTGGTTCAACTCTTGAGTTGGACAGGGTGTGTTGCAAATGGCTGAATACTGGGGGCTTAGATAAAACAGGTGAGATATTAGGGAATCTCTTTGGAGCTCAAGGTCCAAAGCGTCCAGGGCCCATGGTCCAGTTCAACTCAACCTAACCCAATTCATTGTAATCTGATTCAATTTGACACAGTTCAACCCAATCCAGTCCAGTCTAAGCCAACCCAACCCAATTCAAATCGGTATAATCCACCTAATTCAGCTGGACACAACTCAACCCAATCCAGTCCAGTCCAAGCCAAGCCAACCCAATTCAAATCGGTATAATCCACCTAATTCAGTTGGACACAACACAACCCAATCCAGTCCAGTCTAAGCCAACCCAACCCAATTCAGATCGGTATAATCCACCTAATTCAGCTGGACACAACTCAACCCAATCCAGTGTAGTCCAAGCCAAGCCAACCCAATTCAAATCAGTATAATCCACCTAATTCAGTTGGACACAGTTCAACCCAATCCAGTCCAGTCTAAGCCAAGCCAACCCAATTCAAATCAGTATAATCCACCTAATTCAGTTGGACACAACTCAACCCAATCCAGTCTAGTCCAAGCCAAGCCAACCCAATTCAAATCAGTATAATCCACCTAATTCAGTTGGACACAGTTCAACCCAATCCAGTCCAGTCTAAGCCAAGCCAACCCAATTCAAATCAGTATAATCCACCTAATTCAGTTGGACACAGTTCAACCCAATCCAGTCCAGTCTAAGCCAACCTAACCCAATTCAAATCAGTTTAACCCAGTCCAAGTCAATATCATCCATATAATTTAACTAAACCAATCTAATTCAACCATCATCTATTAAGTGCCTGCTGTGTGCCAGGTGCTCCTAAAGGTATTTATGTTCTACTGCAATGAGGATGGGGTGGTGGTGGTAGTGGTGGTGGTGGTGGTGGTGGTGGTGGTGGGGAGATACAATATGTAAACAGAGAATAAAGACCTCATACCATGTGGAGGAAAGAGCACTCACCCAGGTAAGGAGATCAGGGAAGACTTCCTGTAGGAGTTGGTAGCCAAACCCAGCCTTAACGGAAGCTGGGATTCCAGGAAGTGGAGATGAGAATGGAGGGCATGGCCTTTAGAGAGAGATACTCTGACCCTGGCAGAGAGGGAAGGACGGGGCCTCCAGGCCAGGCTGAGCCAAGCCAGGGGCAGCTGCCCTGACGGGTGCGTGGTTGTGTGGCTTTCAGATCGACTTGGTGGATTGGGTAGACAACATGTGGCCCCAGCACCTGAAAGAGAAGCAGACGGAGTCCACCAATCTCATTGCAGAGATGAAGTACCCCAAGGTTAAGAAGTAAGGCCATTCAGGGTTGGGGGTGGAGGGCAGGGGGCGGCGGTGCGGGCCTGGGTGTAGATGCCCAGTTTAAAGGGAGGGCTGAGGAGTGGCAGGGGCTTCCTGTTATTCTGGTCCAGCCTTCTAGGGGACACTTCCAGCTCTTCCTTGGGGATTCTCCCAAGTGTCCCCAAACCCCTGAACCTTGGTCTTGAGTAGAAAGGGCACAGTTGGGCTGCAAATCATCATACTCCAACAGACATTGTTAAGCACCTGCTGTGTGCTAGTCAACGTCATAGATGCTAGGGATACAACAATAAAATGAAAAAATAGCCCCTTCCCTCAAGGAGCTTACCGCTACTGAGCAGGTACAACATGGCGACAGGCAGCATCTTGTAGTGGGTAGATTGCCGTATATGGAATCATACTTGGAATCAGATCTTGCCTGAGCTCCTCATTAGCTGTGTGAACTGAGTAACATCCTTAGAGAGATACAGTGATGACCACCACCATTGCCATCATCCAGACTGCCACCGCCCAGGTAAGGGACCTGGTCTTTCCTGGGCCTCTCTTTTCCCATCCTTGTAGTGGGTAGAATAGCCCTTGCCTTTGTCACTAGCAACATGGAGGTTCTTTCCCAGGAACGTCAGCCCCACTGGCTCAGAAACCAGTGGGGTATCTCATTAAAGCCCTGCCCCCCAGCGAATCCCCCAGGGGAGTGCCACCATGGTGGGCTTGAGTCTATGGGCCTGCCTCCCTCCTCTTTGGTTTCTTTTTCCTCTTTCCTCCTCTCGATCCAAGGCTTCATTCTGGGGCCAGAGCAGGAACCCAAAGTCAGGCCAATGGGAAAGGGCTTTGAGATTCCAGGCCACAACTTCTCCCATTGACTATCATGTGACCGTGACCATGAACCAGGTGTTTCCTTTTCTGATGGTTCCAGTGTCCTTAACTCCTTAACTAAGTGTATGATTTTAAAAGAGATCTGAGTCTAAATCACTTTCCACAAATGCCATCATATACCAGTCTCTAGGCAGGCATACCCCACATTAGGCAAACCCAGTATACTGGGGGATCTTGATTCACACAAAGGAAAAGTTAGCCAGATCAGCACTCCAGTTACAGAAAGTGTCCTTCACTTTCCCCCAATAAGCTCTTAGAATGGGATTCTTTCAAAGAGCAATGTAAGGTGCTCTTTTGTTTCCCCATCCTAATAGAATTTGTTGAATTAGGTTTTCACACATTCCTTCAGGGCTCATTCTGTTCTAATTTGCGTATTGTGTCATAGGGCAGATAGATTTCCCAGCTCCAGCTGGTGGCCAGGGGGAGTGCCTTAGGAGTACTCTAATTGTAATGGAAAGAAAATCGTCACCTTGGAGGGAGTCCATTTTTTCCCTCAGAAAGAATGTGGATGTCATTTAACAAATGTAGGTGAAAAAGACTGAACTTCTGGGGGAAGTGTTTAGGGTTTTGTTCATTAACAACAATGATAATAATAACGACAATAGTGACAACAATAACAATAATAACAACGACAATAATAGCTGGTGTCTAGTGCTTGCTATGTGCCAGGCACTGTGCTAAGCCTGGCAGGTAGGTGCTATTATTATCCCCATTTTACCGTTGAAGAAACTGAGACAGAGGTGAAGTGGTTTGCCCAGGGTCATGCAGCTACTAAGTATCTGAGGTTGCATTTGAACTCAGGTCTTCCTGAAACTTTATCCACGGCTCTTGGTTATTATAAGTAGTCAAATCAATGAGTGTTTATTAAGGGCTGTATTATTTATGTGCCAGGCAATGCATTGAGCACTGGAGATAATAAGAAAGGCCAAAAAACAAACCAACACCCCCCACCCCCAACCCCACCAGTCTCCTCTCTCTAGAAGCTCACAGTCTAATGGGGGAAAACAAGATGCAAATGGCCATATACAAATACGATTTGGACGGGATAAGTGGAGGTAATATTAGAGATGAGACATCAACATTAAAGAGAATCGGGAAAGGTTTTGTACAGAAGGTGGTATTTTAGCTGGGATTTGGAGGAAGCCAAGAAAACCAGGGTCTGAGATGAGGAGGGAGAGAATTCTAAGAATGGGGGACAGCCAGTGAAATGTCCAGTTTTGGGAGATGGGGGAGTCATATCTGAGGAGTAAGCAGAGAGACCTGGGTCACTGGATCCCCCGGGGCACACAGGGGAAGCTAAGGTAGGGGATTTCGGGCATAATTTCTCTGGACCTCAGTTCTGTTTGTAAAATGAGGGAATTTAGATCTTATCCCTAAAATATCATCATCATCGTCATCATCACCATTGCTAGTATTTCTGTTTTGCCTACTATGTGCCAGTCACTGTGCTAAGTGCTTTACAAACATTATTTCTCTCTCTTTTTTTTTATAAGCATGATCTCTCAAGGCAACTAGGTAGCTCAATGGATAGAACGCTAGGCCTGGTGTCCGGAAGACCTGAGTTCAAATATGGCCTCAGACACTTACTAAAAAGAGATGATCCTGAGAGTCACTTAACTGCTGTCTGCCTCGGTTTCCTCAGCTGTTTAATAGGAGTAATAATAGCAACCTATTTCCCAGGTTTGTTGTGAGAATCAAATTAGATAGTGTTTGAAAAATGCCTTAATGTAGCATCTGGCACGTAGTAGGAGCTTGTTAAATATTGATTCCCTTCCCTCCTCCTGTTACCCTAAAATAAGAGCTGTCAGGGACCTGAGATGTCAATGGATTCAATCCTCTCATTTTATAAGAAAGAAAACGGAATACCAATGATTTTCAATACCTGCAGGTCAGGTAGCAGATCGGAGATTCCAACCCAGGTCCTCCCAATCCACGTCCATCACTTGTAAGGATGCCTGTTTAGCTGACGTCTTTTTCTGTGATCCCTCCTACCTTTGACCTTCTATGCTCCTCTGTCTTGTGAGGTCCCTGTTAACTGTGATTCTCATGTTGTAAGTGCAGGGGTGGGGAACAGAACAAATATTTTTATTAAGGGGGTTTGTTTTGTGAGGTTTGGATTCAGTCAAAGCGCCCCTCTTGAGGACCTAGAGGGCCACATGTGGCCCTGAGGCCGGAGGTTCTCCACCCCTGTATCCAAGGCCTCTCCCAGTTCTGAAATTCTAAGGACTCCTCCCCCCACTTTTGTCACTTTGTGTTCTAAGCTGCCTTCTAATGTGAACCTTTTATTTAAAACAAGCTTTACTGATGTTTTTTTTTTAAATGGTAGCTTTTGCTTCTCAATGCCATCCCTCCAGTAGAGATCTCCTTTTTGACAGAGAAGTATGGTGAAGAAAGACTAATGCACTGTGCCTCTTTGATGGCGTGTGCCTCATTCTACATCCATAGCTCACCACCTCTCTGCTAAGGGAGCCTTCACTGTCTGTCCAATGAAGTCAATTCGTGGCATTCAGAATTCTCCAAATCTTTCAGTGTTGTTTTCCTTAATATTGGTGTCATTATGTTTGTCTTTCTGACATTCTGTGTAAGGCCCCTCCTGGCCCTGGCATTCTATGCTCTCAAGGCCCTCCAAGGTGTGACATTCTCTCTTCTCATGTTTTCCAGCTTTGACGTTCTGGGTTCTAGGCTTTCCCAGTGTCCTCACCTCTGAGGTCACTCCAATTTATCCTGTATGCAGTTGTTTGCATAGAGTGGTAAGCATGTTATCTCTACTGTTAGAATGTGAAGGGCAGAGACTGTCTTCTTTCTTTCCTTCTTTCTTTCCTTCTTTCTTTCTTTCTTTCTTTCCTTCTTTCTTTCTTTCTTTCTTTC